GCTGCAGAGAGAGGGGCAGGGGCAGGAATCAGAATCTGGCGTTGGCCTAAGCCCTTGGAACTGGGACCTGCGGATCAGGTGTGGATGACATGAGGGGAAACCCTTTAGAAGAGCATGAGACCACCTTTCCTTACAGAATTCCTTACAGAATTCTCCCAGGAGTGAATGCTGAGTTTGATTCACTCGAATCATGACCCCTAAATGTGAGCTGTGAGTATGGACAATATGGGGAAAAGCAAACAATAGATTTAAATATGTGACAGTGAAGGAGTAGCCTTGATTTGTAAAGATCATTTACAAGTAAATGAGAAAAAAGTCAAAATTTAATAACAGCATAAAAAGAGCTAATAGCCTGAACAGGCAGTTCATAAAGAAGATATGTGAATGAATAAAATATAGTGAAGAGGGATTCTTTACCAATTATGAAAGAAATGCAGATTAAACTAAAATGATCTCATATTGTCCTGTCAGATAGTCTGTGTGATAGCCAAGGTGAAGGGGAGAATATATATTGATTTAGATTTCCCTGAAGGGTCTTATGGTTATGAATCACCAAGCTATAAAATGACCATTCCACTTTGACCCGGTTCTTCAGCTTACAGGAGGTATCCAGAGAAACTAAAGAGATAAGTTAAAATTTTTGGATAGCTGTTATTTATAAAGGTAAAGCCCTAGAAACCAACTCAGTGTCCAAAAAAGAGAAAAGGGTTCATTTAGCTGGGACGGCCAAAATGGTGGCACATTATGTAGCCGTGAGAAATGGTGTTTTGGATGAACTGATAACGTGGCAGCATGCTTTCACATAGCAAAACTGTTTAACAAAATTGTTTAATCGTTTAATAAGAAAGAAAAGAATACAAAATGATTGAAGCCGTGATCTCAGTTCTGTATTTTTAAAATCTATGTAAAAAGAATCCGTGAGCATCTGATCCATCACTAACTCGACAGGTGTTCCTTGAGCCCCTGACCTGCCAGAATCCTGTGAGGCTCTAGGAGACAGTGATGGAGGGAATGGCGGAGAGGAAGGTCATCAGATAGTTTACCACGTAGCTAGTTACAGCGGAGATGAGTGCTTCGGGGAAAAGTGCAGAATTCCGTGAGCACGTCGTGCAGGGGGCACGTTGCCACGTAGGGACAGCGTTGCTCTGCTTTCCTTCTCCACGCTTTTCTGTGCTCCCTGGATATTCTCCAGTTGGTGTTTTCTTTTGTGTTGACAATATAATACACTTTTAGTTTTAAAAAAGAGAAAAGGATTAAAACTGGAGTTTTTAACCTGAGGAAGAGAAAGAGAAGCCAAGGGACCTGGGGGACGTGGACGACTTCAGCTACTCGCAGGGCAGTTTCGTGGGAGGAGCTGCAGGGCCCCTGTGAGCTCAGCGGGTCTCAGGCACCAGTGGGTCCTAAGCTCAGAGAGCGGTTTTGGCTCCCTATGAAATTCATGAGACAGTCTTACTTTTTAAGCAACATCATGAGTGAATGACTGAACACCCAAGGTACTCCTGCGGGTGTACCCGCAGCGGGGCTGCATATAACAAGCTGTGCGTTTCAGAGGTGCAGCTGGGCACAGTGGCAAGCCAGGGAGAGCCCCAGAGTCACACAAACCCGAAAGCAGGGGTGAGGCTGTGAGCTGCTGGGGGTGCAGGGAGGGCGTGGGGGCTGATCCAGAAACACTGCACTTGATGGTAAGAGCCTTTACGCACGGGGGAGGCGAGGCCTTGAACTCTGGGGGAAAGTTAAAAATGAGACTCCCCCATCCCACCCACACCCCCAGAAAGCGGCAGCTCATGCTACAGGTCACCCCAGTGGAAAGAAGGGTTGAGAACATTCTTCCCTGGGGGTGAGTTCACGCCTCTGCTAGAAGCGCTTCCCCCGCTCAGCAGATCTGGGTGCTTGGGGTTGTCCCTGCTGCCTTCACGTCTGCTGGACACTCAGACTCCACTATTTATGCCAAATCTGAAGACAAACAAGGGACCCCCAAGTGACCCCTCCAGTTGGATGCCTTCCCCAAAGACGCCAAAAGCACGTGCAGCAAAGGCAAAAATAGACCAGCAGGACCGCCCCGAACTCTGTGCACCTAGGGAAACAGCCCGCAGAACGTAAAGACGGCCTCCTGGGTGGGAGGAAATAGTGCAAACCAGGTTTCTGAAAAGGAGCTGCCGCAGAATACTGTCATGGTTCCCCTTTGCTGGGACGCACCACAGAAGGGATGCTGAGGCTTGTGGGGGCGGGGCGGGGCGGGGGGCGGTCAGCAGACAGGCCGGCGTCTCCAGGGAGGGTGGGAATCCCAGGCTCAGGACCATCCCGAACCCTGGACTCGCCTCCCGGAGGGTTACAGACTCCGCAGCCGGACTGTAGGGAGTGCCTGGCCACCGTCACAACCCCCCACCCCCCGCCCCTGCGCCCCCAGTCTTCTTTCTGTCCCACGAGCTGGGACGTCGGGGTGCCATGACCAGCCGTCCTAGTTTCATCTCGGGTCCTGTGACCGGGGGAGGCCCCCGGTTCCCGGCAAGTGGTTGCTCCCCCTAAGCCTTGATCATTCCCGCTCAGAGTCTGGTGCCCAGTTCTGTTCAGCTGTAGGGATTAATGTTTATTAAGACTCAGCTGAGGCCATACCCTGCCCTACTGATGCTCTCATGTAGCTTCCTGATGTCCCTGTGAAGCCGGCACAGTGATTATCCCCACTGACGGGTGAGGAAACTGAGGCTCCAAGGAGATCCTCGACTGGCCTGAAGTCCCACCCGCAGGAAGTGGCTGAGCCTGGACTCGCGTCAGTTCAGAGACACATTGTAACACCTGAAGGGGGCTGCAGCTGGGAATCAGCGAGATGGCTGCGCCCCGGAGGCAGTCACCAAGGAATTGTCTTTGCACATTTGTGAATGACCTGGGTTATTATCAGTCATCACTGCTTTACTCACTTTGGTGGAGATGTGTGCATTTTTTTTGGGGGGAGCTATGTGTGTTTGGTTTAATTTTTGTTTGAAATGTCTCCTGAGATACTGCAGGATGATTCAGATTGAAGATGAAAAGTAACTGTGCCCAGAAGTACCTAGAGATAGTAGTAGGTCAGTTTGATATTGATGAAGCAAATTTTGTTGCTGGAGAAACAACCATTGGTTTTTGCAAAGCAACAACTGAGAGAGATGGATTCCCTGTTAGACAAAGTTGGGTTGGGGTTTACTGCCGAGCTGCATGGAAAAGTATGGTCTGCGCCGTTAGTTCTCAGACTTGTGTTTATCAGAATCACATGGGCCACTTGTTAGACCAGATTGCTGGGCCCACCCTAGAGTTTCTGGCTCAGTAAGCTGGGGTGGGGCCCAAGCATTTGCCTCTGTAGCAGATTCCTAGGTAAGTCCAGCGCTGCTGCCTGGGGACCCAGCGCTGCTGGCTGGGGGCCACACTTTGAGACCAGTAGCTAAATCCCACAGATGAAGCATCTCAACAAGAAGCGGGTGTGGGTGATCAGGTCATCAGAGACTTGGCAAGAAGATGGAACTTCAGTTTGTCAGAATCTCTTGCCAGCTTCAGACAAAAGCCGCTGAACTCCCCGCTACATGTTTCAGCTGAGAAGAATGGAAACCATGAGTTTGCTCAAACGCCAAATGCTGGTCCACCTGCTTGTTCTTTGACATACGCTGGGATGAAGTTGTCACTGCTCAAGGTACCCAAGAGGTACATGCCAGGAACGTGGATGTCCTATCAAATGTTCAGTGAAGTCTCACAGAACTCATTCAATACATATAAAATGTCTAAGGAATATCAATATATGTAAAATACCTATAAGGAATATGAAAGCAATGCATTATCATGTGTTGAATTGACAGCTTTTTAAAATTTATTGTATATAAAATAATGTGACATCTTACGGTCTATACCATCTTAGCTTCAAAGAGAGAGAATGTTTAAGAGAAAATAACTGGCACCTCAGCCCTTTGGCATGAGTATTACTGCTTCAGGCAAAGCCGAATAAGGAGTGATGTCAGGCCCGTGTTGATTTAAAGAAGTGTACTTTGTAAGTACAGTGGAGAAGTGTCAAAGGTGGTGCCTCCATGACTGAAGTTTGGGAAGCAGAATGTGACGTGGGCTCTCAAAATCATCAGGAGGGCCTCTCAGCCGGACAGGTTCACCGGAAGAAGTCCCAGAGGCTGTATTTACTCCTGTCTGCAGCCAGATCTCCGTGTGATGATTGCAGACACTACAGGAAGAGAGAAAATACATATTCCCAAACTGCAAATTATAAACTTAATTAACAAAGCAGTGAAAACAATTTTAAGAAAAGACATTTGGGACTGCCTGTTTTACTTGTTATAATGACAAGAGTTAAAGATGATAATGATGTTTGGTCTTCTTTTTATTCTTTTTCCCCAAAACTACAGTGAGAATATAAGGTTGTTTGGTGGGTTGGTTGGTTTTAGGAGTGCTTGAAGAGTGTTTGTGTTTAGAGAGTATTCGTAGTTTGCCCAGAATTCCTTCAGTCAGTTCCTTTCTGGTTTTTGTAAGGTTTTTGTGATAAAGCTTATGAAAGTACAGTACCTAATGCATTTGGGTGAAGTTAACAGAAAGCCTACCTGATATAAACAATAGGACATTTCTTGTTTATTTAACGAGTGTAGATTTGAGTGGGTTTCAGGGCTCTGGCCCAACATCTCGCTTTATGGTTACAAAGTGGCTGCCTCGATCCAGACATCACATCCTCATCAGGCATGTCCAGAGACAAATAGTAGGGCAGCCGGGGCAGCAAGAATGAGTTTTTCTCAACGACCTCTCTTTCTGCCCCCACCTTTTTTTTTAAATCAGGGAGAACATCTTTTCCAGAAACACCCCCAGCGGATGTTCTCTAGGGTCTCATTGGCTAGAACAGGGTCACGTGATCACTCCTAAGCAGCAAGAAACAATGGGAAAACAATCTAACATATTTATTCTCACCAAGGAAAGTAGGCAAAGGGAGAAGCTACTGGGTATTCATATTATGAAAATTAATAATCATCCTATCTTTTAGTTTCAGCTCCAGAATTTGTGTTTGAACATGGCTATCAAACATATCTGCCCACGGAAAGCAACGAAAACCAGACAGCCACTGTCATCTCTGTCCCTGCCAAGTCACGTGCCAAAAAGCCCACTGCCCCACCTGCTCAGAAAAGGCTTAACTGCTGCTATCCAGGTAAAGGCGACATTGAGTCCTGCTTGGGTAGAGAATGTGACATCTAACAGGTCCAGGGCTCGAACTCCTGAATTCCCGATAACTGGGCAAAAAGATGTGCTCCAAACTGCTTGGCTTAGAAATCAACGCCACAGAATTTTCATCGTTACGTGTGACCCACCCCTCACTGGCCCTGGTCACTGTGCACTTGGGCCCTAACACTTTAACAGCCAAGAATCTTTGAATGGCACTAGTGAGAATTTCAGATTACTGTGAATTATTCTTGGTGCCACAGCTTAGGAAGATATCCAGAAAGACTGTCCCTTATTTACTTTAAAAAAGGAAAACAAAAAAATTTATTTGGAAATAATTTCAGACTTAGGGAAAAGTTGCAAAAATAGTACAAAAAGTTTCTGAGCACCCTTTTGTTATTGTTCAGTCGCTAAGTCGTGTCTGACTCTTTTCCACCCCATGGACTGCAGCATGCCGGGCTTCCCTATTCTTCACTGTCTCCTGGAGTTTGTTCAAATTCATGTCCATTACAGTCAGTGAAGCTAGCTAACCATCTCATCCTCTGCCGGCCCCTTCTTTTTCCTTCAACCTTTACCTTTCATCTGGATTTCCCAAATATTAACATATTACATTTGTTTTGTTTTTTTCTGGTGGTTGGTGATTTAGTCGCTCAGTCGTGTCCAGCTCTTTGTGACCCCATGGATCACAGCCTGCCAGGCTCCTCTGTCCATGGTATTCTCCAGGCAAAAATACTGGAGTGGGTTGCCATTTCCTCCTCCAGGGGATCTTCCCAACCAAGGAATCGAACCCAGGTCTCCTGCATTGCAGGCAGATTCTTTACCAACTGAGTTACAAGGGAAGCCCCTGTTTTTTTCTAAGTATACATATGTTTCCCCCAAAGTTGTGGACATGACTTTTACCTCTAAGTACCTCAATATATACTTCCTAGAAACAAGGAAATTCTTTTGTAAAACCACAGTATAATCATCAAAATCAGGAAATTAACATTGATAAATGCTGTTATCAAACTGCTGACTTTATTAAGATTATGCCAACCGTCTCATTAACATCCTCTGTATCAAAAGAAAAATATTTTTCCCTTGGTCCAGGATCCAGTTTGTGATCACACATGGCATTTAGTTCTCATGTGTCTTTGGTTTCCTTTAATGCTATGCTTTTGTCTTTCATGAACTTGATATTTTTGCAAAGTAACCGGCTAGTTATTGCATAAAATGTTCATCGCTTTGGGTTTGTCTGATTAGATTTCGGTGCGGCAGTTTCAGTAGGACGCACAGAAGTGATGTTCTGTGCTTCTTGATACCTGGTATGAGGATTCACCCTGATACCTGCTGGTCCCATTACCATGTTATTAATGTTCATCCGTTGGTTAGGGAAGTTGCTTCGCTGTTTCTCCATTCTAAAGTGACTGTTTCCCTCTGGCATTCATCTTTCCTTGCCTTTTTAAGGTTGCCAGTTCAAGACTGCCTATGGTATGAAGGACATGGAACGTCATTTAAAAATCCATACTGGTAAGTGGTCACAGGCATCCCCCCTGCTGGGAGGTGGGGGTCCAGACAGGTCAAACACATGATATGACACAGACCTCATTGGTCATCACAGGAATACAAATACAAATGAAATAAAAACAAGATGCTGTTTCTACACATGATTTTGTCAGAAAATGTTTAGAGCAAGAAAACTCAGTGCTAGACTTGATATGAGCAAACTTAGGGGTGGAAATGTGAACTGGTGTGGGCACTTTGAAAATTGATCTGCCAGAATTAATTACAACTTAAATGCACCTGCTCTTCTCATCTGGAGGAGAATATCCTGTAAGCGTGTGTGTGTATGGTGTGTGTGTAATGACCGGTAAACAGAGCAAGAAGGGGGAGAAGAGTAACTTTTCACTTAGGTAGCTTTACACTGCATCATTGGATGGATACCTGAGTGTGTCACTTTTGCAGTTTCCAAGGGGAAATTTAACAAAAACTATTTTCAAAGAAGAAAAAAAGATTGATGCATGGGAAAAAAACCTGCGATGATTTCTTGTGATTTAATTTTCTTTAATGTATCATTTTTGTGTCTCCCAGACTTTAGGCATGGAGAAAGAATTACTTTAGGCTATTTTTAACAAAGTGTTAGATGCTCATAAGTCAAATGATATAGTCATGTATAAATTCAATGAGTATCCATGTATATAAGGGAGGGACACTGAAATTTGTCATGGGCATCACTAATTGCCCAAAATCTGCTACTTAGCCTCAGATAAGTATCTATAAGGTAAAATAAAGAAGACAAAATATCCAGCAGTTATCTCAGATATTCCTTGGCCAGGGCCAATGATTGCTTTGTTGCACTGGGGTCACCATCAGGTCTAATCAGCCTCACAGCATCTTGTCATTTGAATTTCATCAAGTTATCAGACTCTGAAATTATTACGTTTCAGGTATTGGTAAGCATGCTCAATGTACCAAGCAGTAAATCTCTCCTGGTGGGTGTCCTCTGTTGAAGGTCCATCAGTCACATACAGCATACTCATCATTGCAAGAGTAAAGTGCTATCATGATTCTTGAGAATCAGGGAACTATTATAAAGCATCAGTGAGGACAGTGACCTGAAGTTCACTGCTGCAGACCCTCAGGGAGCTCCCAGTTAACCAGGCTTGGATTTGTAAGGTGGTTTCTGCACAAAGGTAACTGCAGCGCCTCCGTTAACATCCTCAAGTCGGAGAGCTGACGGTGTGCCCTTGCCTTAGAAGGGGGTGTGGCCAGGGCCAGCAGGAGCCGGACTCTTTGCCACCCGCCCAGCTCCACCACTGTCCAGCATCGGAGTACACGGGCTGGCACCCACCGACGCTGCGTAGCAGCTGACAGTACTGAGAAGTGGTGGTTGCTGGATTTTCTGACTATGAACATTTTTAATAATAAAATTGTAATCTTTAATACACTTCCGTAGATGTATTCTTAAATCCCAGATGTTTATTCTATGAAGATAGTGATGACCTTTGACTGACAATTGACTCTAGCACTTAGCTATTTAGGATTTGGTCAAAGTATGTGTTGGGCATGTAAAAAGTGAAAATCCTGACTCACTGCCTACCTCCTTCGTATCTGATAACCTGCCCAGAAGTCATCAGTCTTTAGAGTCCAGTGCGTCTCATTCTTAAATTTTGGCCAACACCAGGCTTGCTGTGCTTGGTCGCTCAGTCGTGTCCGGCTCTTTGCGACCATGGACTGCAGCCCCCAGGCCCCTCTGTCCTTGGGATTCTCCGGGCAAGAACACTGTCGTGGGTTGCCATGCCCTCCTCCAGGGGATCTTCCCGACTCAGGGATCGAACCCGGGTCTCCCAGATTGCAGGCAGATTCTTTATCATCTGAGCACCAGGGAAGCCCATACTGGGCTTAAACAGACACAAAATATACTTTTTCCATTTCTTATAAAATTAATATTGTAAAAAAAGAAAAATAAAAGTAAAATTAATATTGTATACACTGTCACTGCAGCTTGCTGTTTCTCACTTAATGCTGGAGGTCTTTCCACATCCCTATGTGTATGTATCTACCTCATTCTTTCAATGGCCAAGTAGGAAATTGGTTCATTAATTTACAGTATATCCATACAGTGAAATACTTCACCCTTAACAATTATGTTCTAGAAATTTAATGATATGAATATGATTGAAATTATTTCAAGTATAAGAAAGTAGTCAATAATAGTGAGAGAGTGTTGCATTTGGCTAAGAAGGCAAGGCCATCCTGGATTCTGATCCAAGTTGAGAGGGTTAAGTAAAATCATTGAGAGATACAGTACCATTCAAAAATAAGTGTTTAAATTGATATTGGCCAGGAAGGCTTTTGTACCCCAAAATGTACACACACACATACAAAAGTCATCAGAAAAATTGGCAGGTGTTCAAGGGTGGCAGGGCTTCCCTGATTGCTCAGTTGGTGAAGAATCCGCCTGCCATGCAGGAAACCCCAGTTCAATTCCTGGGTTGGGAAGATTCGCTGGAGAAGGGACAGGCTACCCACTCCAGTATTCTGGGGCTTCCGTGGCGGCTCAGCTGGTAAAGAATCCACCTGCAATGTGGGAGATCCAGGTTTGATCCCTGGATTGGGAAGACCCCCAGAGAAGGGAACGGCTACCCAGTCCAGTATTCTGGCCTGGAGAATTCCATTGACTGGACAGTCCATGAGGTCACAAAGAGTCGGACACAGCTGAGCGACTTTCACTTCACTTCACTTTCACGGGTGGCAAGATGACAGGTGTGTCCGTGAATACAGATTAAGTTTCTGTAACAGAGAAGCTCAAATGCCAGCTCACACACGGCAGGGCCTATGCCTGTCTCACATAACTGTCCAGAGGTAAGCAGGCGGTCTAGGCAGAGAGGCAGCTGTGTTCTGGGAGGTCGTCTGGGGGCTGACGTTCCCCCTGGTGTCACCGTGCATTAGGTACACATCCACCCTCCGCAGCCGTGTTGTCCTCGCATGTGCGTCCACCTCCACGTCTTGGGAACAGCTGGCCAGACAGGTGCAAAGAGAGAAAGTAAAAGTCGAGCAATTTCCTTTTAGGAAAGGAGCACGTTCACCTTCTTTGCCATTTGATTGATGATGACTTGATCGCAGAATCACCCCTGGCTGCGAGTGAGGCTGAGAAATGCATTCTTAGGCTGGTGAGCCACGAGCTCAGAGACTGAGTTTTAGGCTGTGTCTGTTATGAAAAAGAAGAAACCCAAACGAGTATAAAAGACAGTGTTCCTCATTTTTACTTAGCTGCACTTTAAAAATTTGAGTTGCTTTCTATTTTTAATTGATAAGGAACTCATATTCGCTGTCAGAAAAGTCAGAAAATACTAATAAAGAAAATAGAAGAAGCCTTTCCCCCTCTCCCAAGATGTTAGCTCTTTGCCAGTTATCCATCTAGTTTTATTTATTATTATTATTTGTTTATTTGACTGCACTGGGTCTTAGCTGCAGCATGTGGGATCTAGTTCCTTCACCACAGATTGAACCCTAGCCCCTTGCATTGGGAGTGCAGAGTCTTAGCTGCTGGACCACCAGGGGAGCCCCATCTAGTTTTATTTTTTAACTGGAGTCTAATTACTTTATAATGCTGTTGTAGTTTCTGCCTTCCAACAAAGTGAATCAGCTATGTGTGTATATATATTTAAGTATATATATATGTAATATACATATGTTACATATATATAATATATGCATGTGTATATATATCCCCTCCCCACCACCCACCCTCCGGGTCATCACAGAGCACCAAGCCAGCTCCCTGGGCTGTCCAGCCGCCCCCACTCGCTGTCTATTGACGACTAAAACCCATCCAGCTAGTTTGGGCGGGAGTTTCGAAATATCCTGGGGTGCCTCTGCCTTCCTCTTTTCTAAGGCAGCGGGAAGTAAGCCTTTTTCCTTTTTCATCTTGTCCCCTGCTGCCGCACGTGCTTGTTTGAAGGCGACAAGCCCCACAAGTGTGAAGTCTGCGGCAAGGGCTTCAGCCGGAAGGACAAGCTGAAGACCCACATGCGCTGCCACACGGGCGTGAAGCCCTACAAGTGCAAGAGCTGCGACTACGCGGCCGCCGACAGCAGCAGCCTCAACAAGCACCTGCGCATCCACTCGGACGAGCGGCCCTTCAAGTGCCAGATCTGCCCCTACGCCAGCCGCAACTCCAGCCAGCTCACCGTGCACCTGCGCTCCCACACCGGTAAGTCTTCCGCGCGGCCCTCGCTCCGCGCCCGCCGGCCTGGCGCGTCAGTCGCCGGCACCTTCAGGCATGTTGAGTCACAGCCTCGGGAAAGGAACTGCGCACGTCAGTTCATCCCCCAGTGGGCCGTCTTGCTCTTCATCTGCTCAGAAGCATCTTTCTCTACACACCAGGCGAGAACAGTAAAGTTACACTTTATGCCTATCTTTACGTAGGTCTTTAACTCACTCACTAGTATTTAATCAAGAAGATGCTCTAAATAGAGATATAAAATGCAATTTTAGGAAACGCCTGCATAACACATGCTTAGATGTTTCAGTGATTTTTTTAAAGAATACTCATCAGTTCAACATGGGACAGCTTGATGGAAAAACTCAGCAGAGTAGGTAACTTAACAAATTATGTGTGTTTTCCTTTTCACAAGTGTGTATCTGTTAGCTTTTGACTCATTGATGCTGTGTAACAACCACCACAAAATCTGAGTGGCATATTATATTAGTAAAAGCATTTATTGCTCACATACTTCAGGTCAGCAGGGGGTTGGCTAGAGATTCCATTGATCTTTGCAGGGCTTGATCATGCGTGTGGGAAAGGGCAGGTGTCCACTGACCTTGGCTGGGCATCTGCTGGCTGTCCCCTGGCTTTGGCTGGGGCAGTCTGGCTCTGTCCATATATCTCATGGCCTCCTTCTGGGACCAGTGGGCTACTCCACGCTTGTCCTTCCATGAGGATGGCAGACAAAACAAGCATGCCCCAATGTGTGAGCTCATTTCAAGCCTCTGCTTGCATCCCATTGGCTAAAGTCAGTTACCTGATTGGACCTGGTATCAAGGGGTGGGGCTGAGCTCACCCACAGTGGAGGGTCATCAAAGTTTACATGGTGGAGGCCATGAAGCAACCCGGGTTCACTGCACCCTCATCCACTTCCCTCTGACATGCACGTGCATTCTTGCTCTGCCCAGACCCCCACAAATCACATCTGATCATAGAATCAGGTTTAAAGGCCGGGATCCTATAGTCTCCATCATGTACAGATATGGCCTCTCTTGGCCTAGAGCCTTTTGAATTTGAAATAAAAAGACAAGTTGTCTGTCCCCCCACTCCCAGCATACAGCAGTGAAACACAGTCGGAATACTTACAATAATCCTGCCATTCCAAAGGGGGAGGACAGGAGGCACTTGGCCGTCACTGGCCCACAGATTTCTGAACTCTCTCTGGAAAGATGCTTCCAGGTCCCCCAACTCTGAGGACAGGGAATGTTTCTTGAATACGCGTTGACCCAGCTGCCTGGTTTTCGGCTCTGTCCCCTGCAGCATCCTTTCCTCACCTTCCCTCACCACTTCTGAAAAGGAGTGGAAATGTGCTTTTGAGAAACTTTCTCCACCTGTTTCCTTCTGCAGAAACTTGGGATCTTTTTGGATTTTACTTTACTCTAGACTGGTGAGCTACCTTAAAAACATTGTGCATTTCCTGGATATCTGTGTCAGAAGCCACACCCATACTCCTCTTGGAGACTTGCCTTTCTTCTAAACCTAATTATAGACACTTTTGGCATGTAACCTTCTGGAGGTTGAAACCAGTGAGGCTTTTAGGAATCCTTGTCCAGCTGAGAGGACTTAGCTGGCACCAACTTTATTCTTTTGGAGATTTTAAGAAGGCACCTTATGCTTATACCCCTCTTTCCTCATTTGTTTTTCCCTCTGAGATCAGTTCCCTGGATATGATCTTTGTCCCCAGGCTTTTGTCTTACTTTGAAAATCTTTTGCTCGTTGGAGATGAGACGCTTCATTCAGCCCAGCACATCTTTTAATTTCTATATTTTCTCTAAATTCCATTTTGAAATACCCTGTTCTTCTTTGAGTTTGTCTCTTTCTTGTGGGACCTTATCAGATGCAGCTTGTAAGACACTTTCACTGTTCTACTTAGAACTAATCTCTTTGCTCAAATCCAAACTTCACTGGGTACACTTTCTATCTTCTGAGTTAGAACAGGCGACAGTTTTACCAAACCATAAATACTGGCCATTAATTAAATACTGGCCATTGCCACTATTCCCTGCCTCTGCCTGCCACCCAGTCCCAGTCAGCGCTACATATTTTAGTTTTCTGTTACAGCAGCACTAGTTTCTGGATGCTAACATGTGTTTCAGCTATCTAATGTCACAATGATGCTGTGTACCAAAAGACCCCAGAAAACCTCAGTGGATGTAACATGCCTTCTCTGCTCGTGTTTGGGGATCAGCGGAGTGTCACCTGGTCAACTCTGCTGGTCTTCGCTGGGCTCACTTACAAATCTGAGAGTCTGCCGGCTGTGGGCCGGGTGTCCGGTGGCCTTGGCTGCAGCAGCCCAGCTCTGCTCCGCCTCTGTCACCTTCCTTCCAGGACCAGCGGGCAGGGACAGGATTGACCTTCTCGTGGCAATGGATGACAGAGGTACACGTGGGCAAACCCGAATTCACAGGCCCTGATTCAAGGCATTACTTGTATCAAGTCTAGTTAACATACCATCCGCCAAACCCAGTGACATGATTGAGGCTATTTGGGGGGTCATGGAAGGTCACCCTGCCTCTGCCAGGAGAGCCTGCATAATCACAAACCTGGACGAGGCCATGGCTACAGAGAGGGCTAGGAGGTGGGGACATCTGGGGACATTAAGATACTACAGCAAGTTAAGACGTTGGCATGACTGGTGTCTATTTGATTTTCTTCAGAAGTCTCTCCCACCTAAGTTAGGGGCACTGAAGTATGCATTTAACGAAATGGGTCAGAATCACCTTAGGAGGGAAAACTTACCATTTATAGTAGCATATTTAAGTTGGTCTAGAAAAGGTATATTTTCTAAAAATTTAAATGTATGCCATCTATGCAGTGTCTCTGTGGAACATCCATCCCTTTTATAAATCTGTGGCACTTGTAAATTTTTAGAAATTATAAAATTAATAAGAGTTTGTTTTTATCTTTTTATCTCTTTGATCAACTACCTTGTCTTAGTAGCAACCTAAACTCAAGAAAGCCCTGTCAGCTTAAATATAGCAGTTACTTATTCATTGAGCAACATTCATTGAGTCTCAGGTACCAGATAGTGTGGGGACCGGGTAGTGGGCAGGGACGAACATAGTCAGTAGCTTTGGAGAATTTCTGGTCCTATGGGACTGGTACTAACATTTCTGCCTTGTTTAAGAAATTAATTTATGGTTAAGAGGAAAAGGACTTCCCTGGTAGCTCAGCTCGTAAAGAATCCACCTGCAATTCAGGAGACCCCGATTCAATTCCTGGGTCAGGAAGATCCCCTGCAGAAGGGACAGGCTACCCACTCCAGTATTCTTGGGCGTCCCTGGCGGCTCAGATGGTAAAGAATCCGCCTGCAATGCGGGAGACTGGATTCTATCCCTGAGTCAGGAAGATCCCCTGGAGGAGGGTATGGCTACCCACTCCAGTACTCTTGCCTGGGGAATTCCATGAACAGAGGAGCCTGGCAGGCTTCAGTCCATGGGGTCGCAAAGAGTCAGACATGACTGAGCGACTTTCACTTTCACTTTAAAAGGAAAAAGAAGAAAATATAAAAATTTTTTTAAAAAGGAAAAAGATGATGATGAAGAGATGTAAACCTTCTGCTTTCATGTCAGAAAGTGTTGTTCAGCTCTGCAACTCAGCTGTGAGATTTGGTTACCTGGTTTTTCCAGGTTTGACCTTTGCTGGTTGCTTTAAAAAAAGAAAAGGCAAACAGATGGTCACTAATTTGGGCAGTGATCTAATTGGAATACCTAGTAGAACATTCTGGAGCAGCAGTTCTTCCTCTGAATTCACAGACACCTCCACCAAGAGATCCATGGGTAGACTTTAGGAGGTCCATGAACTTGGATGAGGGGAAAAATTACATCTTCATTCTCACTGATCTTAATAAGGAATGTGATGTGTCCTTCGGTTATGAAAATGGGCATCCGATCTGATTACAGTATGTGTGAAACCTTGTCATCCATAGAAGTCACAGATCTTTTTATAGCGAGTGTTTTTGATAGATCAAAATATAGTTTACTTTCTTCTCTATTTAGAAATTATTATAGTCACTAGACCCGCCACTGGAGCTTGTCACTTCATGCACTAATGAAGCACACACATTGCCAAATCACAAGTTTTTTCCTTCAATTTTTAATAACTTCGGGTACAATCAGTTTCTCTTATCTTCCCATTGATTTTTGTTTTAGTTTACCTTGTGCATTTAAACATTCTCCTGAGAAAGGATACACAGATTTCACTGCCAAAGGGGGGCACCATGACATAAAAAAGGTTACGAGCAACATTCTCAGGCAGAAGTCAGCAGGCTTTTTCTGTTTTAATAGTTTTCTCCGTTTATTTGTGGCTGTGCTGGGTCTCCGCTGCTGCACGTGGCCTCCCCACTGGCTCCCATCGCGGGGGCGGCTCCCAGCGTGGGGAACGGGCTCTAGGGCGCAAGGGCTCAGCACGGCAGCGTGAGACCGAGCAGTCACAGCTCCCCGGCTCTGGGGCGCAGGCTCAGCATCGCAGCTCACAGGCCCAGTTGTTCCAAGGCGTGTGAGATCTCCCAGACCAGGGATCAAGCCAGCATCTCAGGGAAGCCCAGCAGGCTTTTTCCATAAAGAGCCAGATAGTTAACACTGCAGGCTTTGCGGACCATACAGTGTCTGTCACAGATACTCAGCTCTGCTGTTGCAGCATGAAAGCAGTCATCAGCGACACATTATCAGATGGACACGACTGTGTTACAATAAAACTTTATTTACAGAAACAAACTGTGGGCCGGATTTGGCCCATAGTCTGTATAGCTTACCATTCCTTGTTCAGGAGTTTTGTGTGAATGACCTTAGTGGCATTTTAGTCATGCAAAGCGTTGTTTGGTTTGGAGCGTCTTCATTTTCTCAAAGCTTGTTTAATCTGCTCCCTGCCATCCTTAATTGCATTTATTGAACATCTCACAATGATGTTATAAGTCTTGTACCAAAAAGCCGGAGCACAGTCCCACTCTTTTAAGTTTACAGTAAGAAAGCCTTGGTCATATGTACAGATAATGACCCAGCATCTAAAAATACCAGCTTTGGAATCAGCCTGGGTTGGAATCCGAGCTCTGCCATGTACTACCCAGTGACTACGAACAAGTGATGTAGTCCCTCTAGGCCTCAGTTCTTCTCATTCATAAATGGTGCTGAGAATAATATTGACAGCGGTACCCACCTCATAGGAATGTCGGGATCTTCAAATGAGACCATTCTTGTGGAGTGCTCAGCAGGGCACCTGCCTTCCCAGAAGCTGCCGAAGACTCTTAGCTGCTGTTTCTCTTGCTCAAACAGCATTGCAATGGGTGGGCTCACCAATTTGCTTCAATTATCAGACGATTGGGACTTGGCATTCACTGAGGAAATAAATTTGGAATATCCATGTCCTTTCAGATGTTTGCAATTTCGCTTTTCCTGTTCATCTTTCACCGCACATGAATCTTAAAAAAAAAAAAAAAAAATCAAGCAGCTGGATTTTGTAACTCCAAGAGTAAAGAACACAGCTGGTGATGTGGATAAATTAAGTTGCACGCAATAAACACATCTTTAATGATAAACATCTACATGAAGTATAAGCGGGGCGTCTCAATCACTGTAAAAAGGATATTCTGATGAGTGAGCACGGAGCTGACTGATTTGAAAATGTACCCTTGAATCTGTTACAACACATAACTCAATCAAAATCAACGGATTATGCAAAATTATACAACTGTGAACGGTTCCCTAGCAGAGAGAGCACATTAATGGTAGGAAGAGCTAGCCTGATTGTATCAAAGGATACACTGAGGGTATTCACAAACCTTCTTTTACGGGGGACGATTAAGCAGCTTGATTTTCAGTCTCCATTTTCCTTCCGGGTATGATGATGGTGGTGGTGGGAAAGTTTGGGGAAAGGAAAGACGCCCCGGACCCCCCCTCTTTTTTTTCCTCCCAGGGGCTGCTAGGAGCTGCAGTTAGAAGGTCTCCACGCGCCCGCCTCGGTTTAAGCGGGTTTCTGGTGTGTGCTTCGGGGGGATCCGCTGTGATTGTTGCCTGCCTGTTCTTATCGAAACTCACCTTGTGTTGACAGGGGACGCCCCCTTCCAGTGCTGGCTCTGTAGCGCCAAGTTCAAAATCAGCTCGGACTTGAAAAGGCACATGCGCGTGCACTCGGGGGAGAAGCCTTTCAAGTGCGAGTTCTGCAGCGTCCGCTGCACCATGAAGGGGAACCTCAAGTCTCACATCCGCATCAAGCACAGCGGGAAGAGCTTCGCGTGTCCGCACTGCGACTTCCTGGGGGACAGCAAGGCGGCGCTCCGCAAGCACAGCCGGCTGCACCAGGCCGAGCACCCCGAGAAGTGCCCCGAGTGCAGCTACTCCTGCTCCAGCAAGGCCGCGCTGCGCGTGCACAGCCGCGTGCACTGCCCCGACCGGCCCTTCAAGTGCGGCCACTGCAGCTTCGACACCAAGCAGCCCAGCAACCTGGCCAAGCACGTGAAGAAGTTCCACGGCGACGCGCTCAAGAGCGAGGCGGCGGAGAGGAGAGACGCGGGCCGGCCGGGCGGCCGCCAGGCGGCCAGGCTGGACGCCAAGAAGACCTTCCACTGCGACCGCTGCGACGCCTCGTTCATGCGCGAGGACTCGCTCCGCAGCCACAGGCGGCAGCACAGTGAGTATGGCGACGGCAAGGGCGCCGACGTGACGGTCCTGCAGCTGCAGGTGGACGCCGGCAAGCCGCCCGCCGCGCCCCTGGCCGTGGGGCACCTGCCCCTGCCGCCCACCCCGGCGCCCCCGTTCAGCGAGGGCAGGGTCAAAATCATCGTGGGCCACCAAGTGCCCCAGGCCAGCACCATCGTCCAGGCGGCGGCGGCCGCCGTGAACATCGTGCAGCCCGCCTTGGTGGCGCCGAACCCCGAGGAGCTGCGGGGCAACAGCCGGCTGCAGGTCCTCCGCCAGGTCAACCTGATCGCGCCCCCTCCGCCCCCCGGCTGCCCCGGCGAGGCCGCGGCGCTGCCCCAGCCGGCTGTCCTGCTGACCACCCACGACCAGACCCTCATCCCCACCGCCCCGGGCGGCCCCCAGGAGGGCTCCGGCAACCAGACTTTCATCACCAGCTCGGGCATCGCGTGCACTGACTTCGAAGGCCTGAACGCCCTGATTCAGGAGGGGACCGCTGAAGTGACGGTGGTCAGCGACGGCGGCCAGAGCATCGCAGTGGCCACCACGGCGCCGCCCATATTCTCCACGTCCCAGCAAGAGCTCCCCAAGCAGACTTACTCCATCATCCAAGGAGGGGCCCACCCAGCGCTGCTCTGTCCCGCAGATTCCATCCCGGACTAGTGCTCATAAAACAAGAGCAAGGGGGGAAAAGGAGTGACTCCCAAAAAGGACGTCAGAAAGAGAATTCTGTAAGAGAATTACTGCTTCCTTACTGTTTTCAAGGGCTGCTGTGAAAAACGCCTCGCCCCCATAATAAATGGCAATTTTATACTGCTCACTGTAATTTGTTTACGCTGTGATGATTTTGAGCCCTCTGAATCACCCTGTTCTAACTGCTGTGGAGTGAGTCTTCAGTGCTACCAACATGACCCGTTTAGGGGCTGGAATGAAAGGAGTAGTGAATGCATTTGTTTGCTTCCAACTTGTTTCCCAGCTCTAATAAAGGATTTTTCCATCTCATTAAATTTGTGTAGTAGATGGTACTTCTCAGCCTATTGTGAGCTTCCATTCTGAAACCCCCCCAGTGTTTGGGGGTAATAGTGTTTTAATACATGGATACAAATCTATTGGCATGAAGGACCATTTTCTACATAATGTTACATGGATATGCCTAAAAACAGTTTAGGGCAAATGAGGGGGCGGGGGAAGGAATGGTTTCCTAATAAGTTGATACATGATTCAAACATAACAAATGTTAATGATTCTTTAGAGTCACCGTGTGATTTGGGTTATTGGGGGGGGGGGGGTGAGTTATATAATTAAAGAGAACTTGAATAAGCAAAGGTTCTTAGTCCTCTCTCATAAATAGTATGTAAACGTCTTACCTTCTTCACAGTCAAATATGTGTGGTGCCTAAAGTGACCCAACTATCATTTTTATTTTAAAACTTCAGAGTGACGAACCTGACATTTCTGTTTAGATGCTAATATAATGCAAGTTCCTGTTAGCCTTTAGGACAATTTTCTAGAATGCCGTTGTGTTAGATATTAATATACATGCAGTCCCAGGGATCAGACAAGCGAGATTGGAAAAGCGTCTATGTTTTTCCAAAGTGTGGGCTGTACAGAGAGGAAAATTCAAATTTTACTGTTTTGAATTGAAATGCCGTGTGATCAGTAGGTGGCGCCAGAGAGTAGTCTCAAGTTTCCCTTCAAAGACCTGAGGCTTCCCTGGGGGTCAGATGGTGAAGAATCCACCTGCAATGCAGGAGACCCAGGTTCCATCCCTGGATGGGGAAGATCTCCTGGGAAGGGAATGGCCACCCACGCCGGTATTCTTGCTTGAAGAACTTCATAGACAAAGGAGCCTCAAGGGCTACATAGTTGACGGGATCGCAGAGTGGGACACGACTGAGCAAATAACACTTTCACTTTCAAAGACCTGAACTGGGGTCTTCGTCTCTGATTTCCAGCTTCTAGTATTATCTTCAGCTCAGGATGGGCTCTTAACAGACTCTAAATGAATGAAACATGCTGTCACAGAGCATCAGCAAAGATTGGTCAGGAGGGGAGGTTACACTTGTGAGAGAAGCATATTTAAAATGAGAGAACACTTTAGATACATTTTTTACCAGAGTCATCAACACTTTAATTTCCGTAACGCATGAACTTACTAAAATTCTCATGCATATCAACTCACTTTTACATAAAGATACTATCCCCCCTTTTTTTGTAATAGCAAACTGAGAAACTTTGCAAAATGGAGATGCCGGAAACCTTGAGAGTTGCCCATTAGAAACGAAAGCCAGCTTTCCATAAGACACAGAGTTCAAGCTGCGTTTTGTCTTCTGTTTTTGATCCCTTCCACTTGAACACAGTTTTGATAATTCACATATCTTCTTTGCCAGAATTTCTTTTCAGCTATGGTAATATGGTATTTATTTATCAGCTATGGTAATAATGCATCATTAGCTGTGGTTTGGTAAGAAATCAAAAAACTTGCAGTTTACTCTGTTAGTATTTTAGTTATTTTATCACTTTAGGATTATTGCTTGCAGCTCTTTGAGAAAATATTCAGCCACTAAATTCTAGCTGGGAAACTGTTATGAACCTATGTCCTACATGTTTCTTTTTTCCCAGTGTGCCCCTTTCTTCAACTTTTAAATGATATTTTCCTGCTTACGAATGTTATGTAGTCAAGATAGAAAATATGGGAACCATGTTATAACTCTTCCTCCAACATACGAGTGGGTTGTGTCCTGATAAAGCCATCATTAGGTTGAAAATATTACTAAGTCGAAAATATCATTAAGTCAAAAATGCATTTAATGCAGCTAATCTACCAAACATAGCTTAGCTTCACCTACCTTAAACATGCTCAAAACATTTACTTTAGCCGACCGCTGGGCTAATACAAAGCCCAACAAAGCCCGTTTTGTAGCAGGATATGGAATATCTCAGGTAAGGTATTGACTGCAGAAAGTGACGGTCATGGGTTGTAGGGGTACAGAATGGCTGTAGGTGTATCACTGGTTCATCTTTGGGATCCCACGGCGGAGTCGCTGCCACTGCCCAGCCTCAGGAGAGATGATCAGACTGCAGAGTGCTAGCCCAGGAAAAGATCGAAATTCAAAGTACAGTTCCATTGAATGCATATTGCTTTTGTACCATCGAAAAGTTAAAAAATTGTAAGTTGAGCCATCGTATAAATTTGGGGCCATCTGCATATATATTAAGAAAAATTCAAAGACGCTGATAGTTTTACTGCCCAGATGTAAAATTTGTGACCACCTTGATGTACCTCCTTCTAATCATTATTCTCTGTGCTTGCCTGTGTTTTCTACTCCAGTTACAGAGCTGGGGTTGAATCGAGCACACTGTTTTCTTTTTATATGCTATATTTGTCTTTAGACCATTACATCTCCAGAGAGCTGCAGCTCTCCATTTAAACATGTAAAGCACATACACATACATGCATATACACACACGTGCATATTTGGATTTTTTTTTAAACAAACTACAACAGGAAAACTTGTTCTTCCTGATAAACTATATACAGAGCTGGACAAAAACCAAGACAATAATCTCCAGCCTATTCTTACCCCACCCAAGGTAAGTAAGGTCTCTGTGTTCATACCAGCTCAAAAGATAACCTAGAAAAGTTTGTCCTTATTTTTGTAGTATTGCACTATATACATTTCTCTCTGATGTGAAAAATGAAAGTGTTAATCGTTCAGTCGTATCCGAACCTTTGCAAGCCCATGGACTGTAACCCACCAGGCTCCTCTGTCCATGGAGCTCTCCAGGCAAGAATACTGAAGTGGGTAGCCATTCCCTTCTCCGGGGGATCTTCCCCACCCAGGGATCGAACCCAGAGCTCCAGATTCTTTACCGTCTGAGCCACCAGTAAAGGTTTTTCCTTGTTTTTATAGTATCACACTACGTCCATTTCTCTCTGCCTTGCTCTTATTGCTCCACACACAGTACCATCTGTCAGTACAGCAACGCCTAACTTTTTTTAAGCAAAAGGTAGAGTATGAATTACCGTGTTATAAGCACCCACCTCCATATTCCTGGATATTTTGGTTGTTTGGGCGTTTGTTTGCCATTACAAACTGCCACAGTAAATGTCTTACGTAATTCTTAGTATTCATTTGTGCTTTATTTTCTTTCTGTAGGTTAGATTTCTCAAAGTGAGTTTCAGTGAGTTTCTGTAGTTTGCACTCGCGTAGACTCACATGACTTTTTCAGAATGATGGTCTCACTGGGGTATGAGCTCCAGCTCTCACCAATCTCGGGTGTTACTGATCTTTTGAGGTCTAGTCAATCTGATGTGTGAAAATGGTAATCAGGACTCTGCATTCCCTGAGCTCGAGCTTTGATCTGCATCTCCCTGACGCCTCTGCGTAGACTTCTGATTATTTGCACTTTTCTTATCTATGAACTTTAAACTCATACTCTCGTTTTTCTCCGTGGGTTGTTGGGCACCTGGGACATGAACCCCATGTCTGTCACATGGTACCCTTCTTCACTGTACATTCCTATGAAACTTTCCAATTTTTTTCTGTAATTAATGGTCTATTTGGATTTTATATCTCAACCTGATATATTTTGGTACTACAGACTTTGCAAAAGGAAAAAAGAACATTCGTTTCACTCTAAATTTTCAAATCTGTAGTATGTAATTCCACTTAGTCTCTTTAAATTATTTAGAATCTTCAGGTTTTTTTGGCCTAACAGCTTTCTGATTACCTTTTTTGTTTGTTTGGGATTTTGTGAAAGGTTTTGGGGGTTTTTTGTTTGACTTTTGGTTTTGTTTTGTTGCTGTTGTTGGGTTTGGGTTTTTTGGGTTTTGTTTTGCTTTGTTTTTTGGTATTTTCAGTTTTCTCCTTAGGTAGTCTGCCAAGAGTTTATCTTGTTTTTTATGTAAAAGTAATGCTTTTGCTTTTATTTATTCTTTCTCTGCTTCTCCTCCATTTTATTCACTTCAGCATTTATCTTTATTTCAGTATTTTTATTAATTCGTTCCCCTGTTTTTCTTTCAGTTTATTTTATTATTCTAATTTCCTGTATTAAGTTCACTTATTTTCAGCCTTTAATAGTAAAAGCATTTAAACCTATGTATTTTCCAGTATGACCTAAAGATCTTTTTTTTTTTTTTTTTTTCAAAAAAAGATCATTTTTTTTCGAAATTTCAAAATCATGACTGTCGTACAAATATAAAGTAAACAGGCATTAGCAATTTCATTTAATTCAGTAAGTAATGGAGGAATCAGTAAGATGTTACAACAGGTTCCAAGGAGAATTCAATGAATGAACACTTAAACAGGCAGTCAGGAATACTGAAGTGAGTTCACAGACAGATGCAAAATTGGTTAGTGTCTACAGGGCAACCATCAGTTGCATTCCACCCACAAAGTCTGTTGGCATTCTTGCATGTTCTTTGCATTATCGTATGTTTCTATAACTCACAAAGTTGTAAAATATCTCAAAAACACTGACAGGCATTGACCCCTGTAGAATTAGGGGACCTGGGGCTGGGATCTCACAGACTAGCCAGTAATCTTTTTTGCCTGTTTCCAAGTCTTTCAGAAATTTTCTTGACACCCATATCTCTACAGATTTTTATATGAAGTGTCTTTTCAAAAATTTCTAGATTCTGTTATTCCAGTTTTAGGGTTGGTTGGTTGGTTTGGTGGATCAAGGGGATAAAATCCAAGAGGTTTATTTCTTATTTTTTTAAGTAAGTACAATTTGTGAAACTACATTTTGGTTTTTGATATTAATGTTTTGATCTGAGAATATGACCTGTAAAATATGTGCTTTTGGTAATTTATTTGTTTTCATGGCCATGCAATGACCAATTTTTGTAAATGTATGATGGAGATCTATGAATTAAGCATGTTGATTTTGTTATTCAGATTTTCTGAATCCCTCTTAGTTTTTGTCTATTTGGTAAATTTCAAAATAAGTATTTTTAAACCTTTCACTATCATTGTATTTTTTATCAAGCTTTTCTTGTATTACTGTGTTTCATTTTATTGTATTTTGTCACACGTTGTTTGATGCATATAATTTTGTGGCTGTGATGTGTTCTTTGTCAGTTTCACAATTTATCCTTTATGCCTGATCTTTCCATTTAAAAGTTTTTGGCCTTAAATTATACTTTATTTTGTGACAATATTCTAAGACTTATTTTATATTTTATTATATTTTCTCAGTTTATCTTTGCCCACTCTGTGGTTTAATATCTTTCTTTAATATCATCTCTTTGTCTTTGGTTGGAGAATTCAAACTGTTTGCATTTATCATAGTAACATATACTTAGTATTATTCATTTCTGT